AACATAACAAAATTGAAAAAAGTGAAGGGGGTCTGAATACTTTCCAAATGCACTGTATAGCTTCCAACACATTACCCAGCAAGCCTGGTTAGTAGAAAATTATGGGAATTATGGGAAATGCCATGGACTGGGTGAGGCAGCCTAGTGAATAAGCTATACAATTCAAGTGTATTTTGAATGTTCAGTCCAGATCTACATAGTCTCCAGTTAAGGCATCTTAAAATGAGAACAGTAAAGAGAGCAAAAAAGATGCAGCAAAAGCTCTAGAGTAATAGAGTAAATAGTTTTCAAGGAATCAGCAATTCTTCCTGAAAAACTGATGAATGATGTTTCTGTCTTTATTGTAAAGAATTAAAGAATTTAAACACTTGAAATTTCCTCTTTTTGGAACACAGCACTCAAAGGTGGCAAGAATACCCTGCCATCTGGGAATCGAACAAAATAATCCAGGAAAAAATATGTGGATATGGATATAGCAGTTTCCTAAGACCTGTAATTTCAAAGGCAAATGCAGATTCAACCATTATTTTGCTAATCTTAAGCATAATCATAAGTGATTTATCTTGTCTCAAAGGTATAGAATAACCAGAAATAACACTAAGTTGTATCAAACTTTTTAATAGTTTTAGTAGTAAATTTAATCTGTATTGAGAGTTTAACTATATAAGGAGTATACCAAAGATTTAGAGAAAGAAGTAGTATGGACAGTTCAAGTAGTCACAACCTGCTCTTAAATGAAGGCAAATATAATTAATTTTAATTAGGATATCTTAATTAGGTAAATATGAAAAAAGGAATTAAATCTCAACAATTTTTTCTAGCATTCAAACCTGCCCATCTCCAAGGTGACACAATGGCAACTATGCTACTGTTGTGAACATAAATCAATATAATTTTGCCAAACCAAAATGCAGATGAAATATACTTTGGAACTGGGGAAGGTAGCACAAAAAATAAGTCACTATTTCCTGCTTCCCACTATACCATTTCCCAAATGTCCCCCTATCTCATCATTCCTGCTCCAACAGTAAGATTGCAAACTACTTAATGTCTATTCATCTCTTAGAAATGTGTCATGCAAAACAGACATGACTACTGCAGTCAGTAATCTGCATTTCTAAATAACCCCTCCCCAACTAAAAGTTAACAACTATGTCACAAACCTCATACTCATGACACATCCCTCTATCAAAATATCTAGCCTGGAACTTCCAGCTGGTTGCCACAAAGGCCAATTATTGTAGCTCCCCCACATTTTGAAGGGCACTGCACAACAAAAAATGATATTTTTAGAAAAGGAATTGTGAAAGTACGGTCTGTTCTCTTTATTTCTTCTTGACTACACAGTTAATAATATAATTATCAGTAGCTTGTGTGTGGAGTTATTAAGCATGTGTCTTATTTCTATATATCAGTTAATACTGTACTACAAAAAGACAAATGTACCCTCTCTATAACTCTTCCATAACATCACATTGCATCAATAGATTATTTTTATTTTAGCTACAGATGACACTTCTAAATATACAGCCATGTCTGCCTTGTTATTAAAAAGTAAAACATAACCTTAAAATATTTTACTTATTTAGTTTTTACTTACAAGACATGTATTTCTTATGAATAAAAAACAGTTTAGATGTGTTGGAAAGTGAGAAAAACTCTATTTTCTCCACCAGACCACCAATGGTTTGCAATTATCACAGCAAAATGACCTTTAATTTTATCACTACCAACAGCACAAAAGTAAAATACTATAACTTAGTATGGAAGAGACAGGAGTTAGAACTCCTTAGTTGTTAAATTCAAGATGGAACTGCATCATGAAAACTATATTCATGATGATCTGGCGCAGGAAATTTGGATCTGGATTTCCACACTGAGTAGGGGGATAAATTATAGCCTAAATGGTATCTTCCAAATGATTTCTAGGCATTTAAATTAAACAATCTTTAAGAATCCTCTTGCCTCTGAATGACTATTACCTCTATATAATATAAGGGCCAGTGCACTAAAGATTTCTCTACAAATTGCATAATGCTTTGTTAATTTTTTATTTTTAAATCTTGAAATATAACTAGTTAGATATTATCTCAGTACTGGCTACTATAAGCAAGCATACTTTTGCAAAAAGAATCTATGATTAAATTTCCTGAACATCACCTAAATTTGCTTTTCTTTTTTTCTCTGTAAGGTATTTATAACCTCTAAAATTGCGAACACTTATAGAATAAGATCCAAAAAGCTGAATAAAGTTGTGAATGTTGAGGACAATAGCAGATCATAGCATACAGGCAACTACTTCTGAAACCACAGACAACTTCAAGGCCAGTTTTATGAGTATGGGGGCCTGAAGCCTTGGGATTACTTCTGAAGTAGTTCTTCAGACTTTAATCATTAAAAGAAGGTAGGTCCTAGCTATACATATATAATTTATTTCTACTCCAGTATTGTTCAGTACTACCAGTCCACAGAGATTCATCCAACATTTCTTTTCATTTCTGGAGCAGCACTGTAGGGCAGGCAGCAATGAAACTCAAAAGGCACAATTCCATATTGTTGCAGTAGTAGTAACTTGGACAGAAATAAAGAAGGAGACTGTTTCCACAATATAGCTGTTGATAAGTGCAAAAATTTATCCTACATGTGTTATGCTCTTTGAAAATGTGAGGGGGTGGAAAGGGAAGAACACTAAGTAAGGCAGTACTGTAACGCTAAGAGGTTGCCTAGTCTATGTCATTTACCATACATTTATCACATACTCCAATTTTTATCACATTCAATGCTGCAATATTTTAAAAATCAAACCTTAAAGATCAAGAACTGAAGACAATTTTAAATTTCTGCAAATCTAAAACTTAATTAAAACATCACCTAAGAGCAATATGGCTTCCACCATGAAAAAGCCAATTCAACTCAAATGGCCTTATGATGCTTCAAGAGAATGCTTCAACTCTGAAAAAGGAACTATTACACAACTAAAACAGCTACTAAGGATCAAATTGCAAACTGAATGACACATTAACATCAATAGCATGTTTAAAAGAGAGAACATTATCACTACAGCTTGACACAGGAAGACCAGATGGTCTGAAAATCAAGCAGCCTAAATATTTTAGGTTTTAAGAGTGTTTTCAAGGTATGTTTTATCATGCTCAGAATTCAAACAGTATCAGTACAAGCTAAAATGTCATAGTCCAAGTTATTTTTTCTTGTGAGACAGTAATCTACCTTGTACTAACTACAATTTATCTGATGAATACTGAACAATCACATACTTATAACCTAACCCAAGAACTACAGTAGGATAAATGAGGAATGAAAAGACCAAGTTAAAGAAAAATACAATTTGTTATATCACCAGATTTAGTATGAAGTACCACAGCCATTTCTTGATATACAAGGAATAGTAACAACAGAGTACTTTCCAGTGATTTTAATTCTTCATGTCACAATGTCTAACCATCATCCCAATCTGACACCTCAGGTTGCATTTTGCCCCTTCAATCCTTCAGTATATCCCCAAGAGGTATAAAATTATTGTTCTGCTATAACTGAAGTGAGAAGTATTAAATCCATTCTGAATAATCACAATAACTGCATTTAATTAATTTCGCTTACACTAAACAACAATAAATTGACTTTCATTTTTTCCCCTAGTCCTATACCCTTTTGGAATGTGGCACCGAGACGCTCATTCAAAGGCCAAGTATGGATTCTCTAAAATTAGAGGCTCTAATTAGGTTATGGTACATATGCTTTGCATACAAAATATCCATGTCCAATTCCTAGGCAATTTTGGAAAATCTTCTATCTGAAACTCAAAAGAGACATTATCCATTAGCCTAGACAACACTGAGCTACATTAATCAGTGATTTGACTTGGTACAAAGCAAGTTTCTTTGTTTCTATTTAAACCTTCGCTGATTTAGCTTCGTCAGCTCTTTCCTTCAGCCACCCACTATGACAAGTTGAACATGCACACATGCACAAAGGAAAAAAAATCTAAGAAAAAGTAAAAGCATATAATGGAATATTATAATCAGACTGAGGATACTTACAATAATAACTTAGTTCAACTTCTTATCTCCTCAGCTCTTTTCCAACTGGTTTTTATAAGAGCTACTGTTTATTTAAAATGCCAGAAGTTTATTTTTTCCCCCTCTTCCCACCTCTCTCCATTTTTCCTTTTATGTTGTCTTTTTCTGACTGCAAGCCTATGGACAAGGATTAACTTGTATTTACTATATCAGGCTAGCAGTTCTAGGAGTCTTTTTGCTGAACACTATGTAAAAATACTTTCAATATCAGGTGAACAATTCCAGATAACTCTAACAATGTGCCAGATCATACAACTGTTTAATTAATTAATAACACCACATATCTGAGCAGTCATAAGAAGATTCAGTCCATTTCTGCCTTTTCAGTGAACCTGGTGGATTTCATTGGACCCAATGTATTGAATTCATTGTCAAATTCACTGAATTGAATTTAAGCTATTATTTAAAGAAGTGGGAATGCAAATTCTACACAGCTATGACAAATTTTACACAACTAATAAAAAGAGTTTTATTGGATGACATGCAGCCAATACTATGGCAGTAGCTAAACTTTGACACTGCTACAATCAAAACATATCATTTTAGAACTACTTCAACATAAGTATGTTTCAGAATTATTTAAATATTCAAAATATTGCAGTAACTAAATCATCTAGATTTGTACCTGTGATGTCATTTAAGAGGCAAACAGGAAGAATAAAATATTTACAGATGACAAAATGTTGTCATCCTAGTCTGCTTCATCAGGTTCATCAAAATAAGAAACAATAACTAGCAAATATGTAGGAAGGCAGGGGGTCTATGTGTTACTACCATAACTGAAGCGTTTTTGTCCAATATATTCACTGTCAACAATACAACTGAAATAAATAGGAAGCCCAAACAAAAGCTTAGAATTATTTTGCATACCTAAGATTCTTGGAATACTGTATTTTAAATAAATTATGCCAATTATGGACGGAAAAGGATAGGATTTTTATCCTTTCAGGAAAAGATGGACAGATCAGTGGTATGGACATTCTCTATATGCAGGACATTCTCTATATGCAGAGAGTCACAGACCCAAACTTATGCATCATCAACACAGGTGAAGGAGACAGCAGGCAGTGTAAGAGATCACTACAATCCTTTAGAGTTGTTGCCAATTAGGCTACCTAAGATTGGGCTATATTGACAAACTGACCTGGCAAAAGGAAGCTTTCTATATTCCTTACTTCCCTCATTCTTGTTTTATCTCAGTTTGGTATTTTTTCTTAACTCAATGCCAATATTTATAAGTATAATTTGTAATGAACAAGGCAACTGCCAAGAGATTTTACATTTATTTTAAAAGGGGTTTTATTCAGACTTTTTTTTATTGTTACAGTATACCAGCAGAAATTACTGTATGTTTAATATTTTTTATTCATCTTTAGAACCTTATGTCTGGTGCATATGTTTTCAAAGAAACAAATTTTAACAAAATTAAAAAGCTGTACCTTTCCATATAGCCTATAGAAAATGTTCACTGCTCACATATTGCTGTTTATAGATGCAGGGGAAAATTAGTGATATTAGAAACATCTGTGATTATAACATTTTACCTTTAGTACCATGCATAACACAACTGCTTAAAAGCTAGCATCAATGCTATTTGTCATGAAGAGAACTGTCACAAAACCATGCACCTCTCATAACACATATAAGAACAACTTATATGTGGTATATCATGTTTAAAAGGAATCTATTATGTTCATGAATAGCCTGTGGAACATACAACAGTGAGTTCACAAACAATAAAGCTAAACTATGCTGCTGTGAGAGCGAGTAATAAGAAATAATTTATCAGAACTACTAAATGAGAACATGCAAATAACAGCAGCATACTAAAAGGCTTTATGGTTAGCTTCATAATTATATTTAGAATTTTCAAAGTGAAACTCTTTCAAACTTTTGAATTCACTTACCTGCAGCATACTGACAATTTCGACTTTGTTAAAGAAAATGAATGAAGTAAGGGTAGAAAGAAAATTCTCTTCAAAAACAGATGGTGTTGGCAAGATGATGTCCTGAATGTACTGTACCCTGTAAGTCTGATGAATCTTTTGTCTAAGTTCAGAGTCTGTTATGGGTATGACCTCTTTAAACTTTGCTGTTTTGGTCAAAAATTCCCTGTGCCTTTTTGGTTGAGCTAATGCAGGATCATACTCAAGGCATCCCACAACATCCATAATGCACTCATCTGAGAACATCACCTCAAAAAGAGTTGCTTTATTGAGGAACAAAATTCCTCGAATAATTTCATACAAATGATGCAAGCCTTCAGTATTTTCTAGGTTCTCACAAAGCTGGAAAAGCTGTAATAATTTTTTAATGTAGCCTTCATTCTCCAGGGCCAAGGCTAATTTTTCTCTACGTATGGGTGATGAGAGAACTGAGGTAACTAGGTCTGCTATTTCTTCGAGTTTGTTGAGTTCACAAGTAGGGAGATCAATCAAATGACTAGTTTCAGGCATTTCCTCAAAGCGTTCTTCTTCTGATTCATCAATGAGATCCTGTGTAACTTCCACAGAAGGGTCTTTACCTTGAACCTAAAATCAAAAACATTAATAATTGTTGACTTATTCTGATACATATTAGTGACTTTACAAGGCAAGGAAAAGGAAGAAATATGAAAATCAGTGTTATTACCAAGTATCTAAATGATGTGTTAATATAGTTCTAACATTTTGCAAACTGACAGCGAAATGGGACTGGTGGGCTGAACACCAAATTTAGGTTGTTCTATTATGCCAGATGTTGATGTTAAAGAAAGGAAGAAGAATATTCCTGTGGCCCATCAGAGCTGAACAACTTGTCTGAGCAAGCCTCAATGGCATAAGTTAATGGTAGTACAGTAGAGTCTCGCTTATTCAACATAAACGGGCCGGCAGAATGTCGGATAAGCGAAAATGTCAGATAACACACAGTAACGATTGAGTACGGTAAAAAAAAAAAAAAAAAAAAAAAAAAACCAATCCGCTGCGCCTGTTGCAATCGATTTTTGCATTGCGGCGCCACACCATCAGGAGCAACAAGAAAGAGTACACTCACGCTCGCAAACAAGCGGCATGCTTTTCTCGTCGCCGATTTATGTGTGTTGTGTTTTTTTTTGGGGGATCGGGTGAGAAGGGACGTCGGGTTAG